GGCTTTAGTTAGCGGCCAGCCTTTGTAGCCCTTTCTCAGCAGCCTCCTGGACAGTGCTGGCCTGCGCTGTGCTCTGTCTCTCCAGGACTTCAAGTAGTGCTGACTTCCCTGACTCCCAAACAGGTGGCCCGTGGTTACAGGAAGGATTCTCATTAGGCAGATCTAGTCTTTTGACTCACTCTCACTACTTTAAAAATTGCGTTTGGCATGTGAATCTGCTGTCGGTACTGTGCTGGTCATGAGCCTGTCTACGGAGGCTCCTTTCTCAGCCTGCATTTTTCTGCCCTCCTAAGGTGCAAGGTGTCAGCTCAGCGCTGACTCCTGGACCAGCGGCAGGTATTTGGGAGGGTCACCGCCTCAGTGCAGGTGTTCTTGGCTACTCCTTTCACTCCCTGGTCAGCAGCTTCACAGTGCTTGGTGCCACCTTGGTCCCTGTGGACCGGGTGCCCTCAGGGTGCAGCCCTGCAAGCCTTCCCTGCAGTGCTGGGTGCAGCTCTCTGGAGGCAGTTGTGCAACAGACAGGCTCCAGCCGTCTACTTGTAGTAGCTGCGGAGACGCCAGAAGCTCTCTCCAGAGCCAGGCACACAATATCGCACTTCAAGTGTTGGTGGGATTAGAGACTTTAGAAGGTGTTTAATTTTCCCCTCACTCTTTCTTGCTCCCTGTCTCTTTAGAGAGGGAACAAGAGGGCCGTGTGAACATTAACTGGGACTTTCTTTAATCTCCCTGTAGCACTTAGTGCAGTCTGGGTCTGCTGGCTGCCCAGGCTCCCACCTTGCGGGCACAGGAGCACACCGCACCACAGACTCGCACCCCAGGGCTGTGCTCCCCACCTCCTAGGGCTGGGTTTACTCTCTTTTCAACTCAAATTTTGCAAAATGTTATTACTTTTATTTTGATGAATGGGGACTAAGTTGTAGTTAGCTAAAGTAAGAAGTCTGGGTTCAGTGGCCAGTGGGGTGATGACGGGGAACCGTGGTGCATGGCATGTTGTAAAGAGCTGGGAGGGAGGCATCTGGATGCTGTCACCACGAAGAAACAACAAGCGTGTGAGGAGATCCGTGTGTTTGTCCTTATTTAAACATTACACAGTGTATGTGTATCAAAACCTCACGTCGGGCTGGGGCTGTACGTAGCTCAAGAGGCAAGGTGCTTGCCTGGCTCTGGGTTTGATGATGAGCAACACGTAAAAATAAATAAAATAAAGCCATTCTGTCCATCTACAAGTACAAATTTTTTTTTTTTTAAATCTCACATGGTTCCTATAGTTTCCTATAATTTTTGTTTTTATGTATCAGTTTAAGAATAGATATACATTAAAAAGAAATAAGACCTAATAAAAAACCTTTTTAATTTTCTGAAAGGAACAACTATAAAACATAGATTTCGTGCTTTTCATTATGTCTGAAGTCCTGAACAGTAGAGCCCAGACATTCCCATTGGAAGTTGGGACAGGCCACAGGACCCTTGCGCTGCATGCTCTACAGGTGGAGGGCCCCTGGCTGGCCATGCTCACTGGGGAAGCCATGGTTTTTACCTGCTGCCCAGGACAGCAAGTGCTTCCTGGGATTCTGATCAGGTGAAGTCCTCCTTAGGACAGAAGGTGGACAGCATTGGCTCCAGAGAGGGCATCACGGCCTGAAGTGGCCAGTGCTGGGCTTGCTGCTGTTCCTCTGTGGACTCAGGGTCCTGAGGGGCTGCTCCAGGGCAGTCTGTGCCCCCACCCCACCCCTCCACTCCTTGTGCTGGCAGCAGGGTCTGGGAGAGGTGCCTTTCTCCTGGACTTGGTGCTGCTTCCGCAAGGCCCTGCATGCCAGGTAACTTGTCCTGGAGTGGGACACTGAAGACCCAGCTGGGAGCTGCGGCTCTCCGCCACATTCTTCTGTGCCCCTTTTCCCTTTCTCTTCTGCAGAAACGAACTACCCAGCATTTTAAGGATGAATTGAGGATAAATACCATACTAACAGGTGTTTTCACAGAATGTGATAGAGGAGCTCCCTCTTGCCCTCGGCAGGGGAATTCTGGGGTTGCTCATCTTGGACCTTTCATTCCTTGCCTCAGTGGCATTAGCTTCTTCTGACTCAGTCCTCCAGAGCCCGGACTCGGGAACCAGTCAGAACCAGAGGGCAGAGCACAGCCAGTGTAGTGCTGAGTGCCGCCACAGCCCTTCTGTGGGAAGGAGGGGACAGCTGGACTTTGGCACTGCAGTGCGGGCTTCCTGGCATCATGCTGGGGCAGAGGACAGTCAGGCGGATAAGACAGCAGTCTCGTCTCAAGGGGTTCACAGGCATGAGGGCAGAGGAGAAATACCGACAAGTAGTCATAGCTTACATGATTTCCACAGATGCGAATTGAGCTTGTCACTCTGAGCCAGGAACTAGACCTGGACAGGGTGTTGGGCTGCGGAAAGGAATTAGGTGTGGCTCCTGCAGGAGCTCGCAGGCACAGGGCACATTAGTGCAGCACAGCGTGGCATTAACTGCTAGAAGAATGCTCTGGAATCCATGGCAGGAGCTTCTAACGCAAGCTGGTATAGCAGAGTGCTGGAACTCTGACGGACGCTTGCAGGAGGAGGGGACACTCACCCCAGCTTGCAGGGAGGGGAACAGGTGAGCCCTGTCTGGGGACGTGGCTGGTCTGCCCTGCAGTGGAGGTGGTTTACTGACATACAGCTCTGGGTGGTGGCACTCTTCTCCACAGCCTCTGCATCTGTCACTGGCCGTGGCCCTGCTGGTGTCGCTCCTCTGCCACTTAGCCAGCCAGCCCTCAGTTTCAGCAGCTCAGAGCATTGAGGGAAGCTCCTTTTGCCTGTTTTCAGTTATACTTTGTGAAGAACCAGTAAGTTTCAGAAAGAAGAAAATGTTTTGTTTGTGTCATTTCCAGTTAGTTACGTGCATGAACCCAAACCTTTTGGTCTTACACATTTTCTTACCTAAATACACCCCTTTTTCGACAGAAAGTGAGGAAACCAATGTGCATAGTGACGGTGTTGTCCTGAGTGCAGAGGTTGATAAAGCAAATAATTTGCTCAGAAGCTTATTCACATAGTGCAAGTATCTGACACCTGGGAACGTTATTTTTATTTTCTATAATAGCACAAAATTGAGATTTGGTGATTGCAGAAAAGAGGAGAAGATTCAATTTAGACCATGTGTATTTAAATGTTTGTATAGATTCTGTCTCGGGGGGCGGGGGGGAGCAACCTTGTAAAGGACCCGGGCTTTATTATGAAGGAGAATAGACAAATGGCCAGTGGAGAACATTTCCTACCAAAGTGGTGACTAAGTATGGGATCAGCATCCGGAGGGCACCAGCAGCCCTATCCTGTCCCATCTGGAGAAGGTCAGTCATTTATACCCACAGTGGTTTCAGTGACGAACCTTCAGTGGCCTTCGGGTCATGCACTTTACAGTCACTGGCTGGGCCTCTGCTTTGCACCAGCTCTGTGTCCAGACCACAGGCCCTCAAATGTGAGCTCAGCCTGTGTGGAGGAGCCAGGAGAGGCAGCCAGGGAAAGGGCTGTGATCCAACAGGTCAGGTGGGGCTCGGCAGGGATGCAGATCAGCTTGGGTTGGCTCAAGGGACTAGGTGAAGTGACCTTTTAAAACCCAGAGATTCTCCTGAGCCTGCAGCTGCCTCTGCTCCCAACATCTCAGTGGTCTGACTGCAGTAGAGGAGTTCAGCTTTTCTATTTTCTATGAAATTATTGAACCAGAGAGAAAAGAGTTGGATTTTTTTCCCCTTAAATGCTACAGAAGGAGCTGCTGGTTTTGTGACCACGGAAGCCTTGTCTCTGGGCTGGGGAGGCTCCACTCCCTCGCTGCCAGGTTCCTTGCCCAACACAGACATGCCCGTTCTTTGGAGGCACCTCAGTGGACCCACCTAGTAACCCCCCCAGGAAGGCCTGGCTTTCCTGAGCCTCTTCTGATCACCAGCAGGGAGGCCTCTTTCCTTGGAAAAACTAGGATTCCATCCCAGGTTCTTTGTCATTCCCTTTGGACCAGGGTTCAGGCCACTGGGCAAGCTCATTGACAGTCTCTTATATGTCTCTGGTTCTACCACTGAAAACAGGTCCCTAGAGCGGTCTCTATAGGGTCTGTTACAGAAGGACGTGTGGTAGCCGTGTGCTGTCTTGAGGGCTGCGCAGCTCCTGGCCACCGAACCAGATTCCTTGGCAAGTCAAGTGGGTGCTTTCATCATTCAAGGTCATTACGGAAAGGTTCATTGAATTTCTATTTGTTGGCAACAAAGAGAAACTTTCATCTTCATCTTCCGAGCTGTGCTCAGTTCAGGGTGTAGGACACCGAGCAGGAGACTTTCGAGAGCAGGAGTGTTTAAACTAAATCCAGCAAGTCCTTGAGGGCGTCTAGTCTCCAAAACACCAAAGGAAGGAAATTCCACAGTCACTCCTCCAAATCAGTTCCTACTGATAACAGGAGCAGGATGGTTTTCCTGTCTGACTCTGACCAGGTGTCTCTATGGCCAGGTCTGTAGGAGTCTTCTTTACCTAGTGACTCAGCGTAACTACCAACAAAGGGGTGTGTGTGTGTGTGTGTGCGCGCGTGTGTGTGCGCGCGCACATATGCACCTGCCTGAGGCCCGTGTGTTCTAGTGTTCATGAACCTCAGCCCGCTGCTCTGAGCCTTTGCTTCCTCATGCACTCATTCATCCCTCCTGAGTGGGCACCTCCGGGTGCCACCTGGACGTCACACTTGCTGGGCACATGTACACATGTACCTGTTCTGTCGTCTTCTCCTTTTCCACTTGGGATTTGTGTCCTGGTCACATGTTCTGGTTGCCCCTCCTAACTGTGTGTTCTGGCTGCATGTCCTGGTCGCATGCCCGACTGTGTATCCCAGTGGTGTGTCCTGGCCACGTGTTCCAGGAGGGTTGTAGGTGCCTGTGGTGGCAGGGTGCTTGTGTTGTCCACTCCCCACCAGCTTTCATGTGCACTTACACAACAGCAAAGCCTGGTACCATATTCCTTCACTCGGCTGCAGTTCTGACGCAGTGGGTGGTATACGCTGTCCGCAACCTCACTGAGGACAACAGCCAGAACCAAGATTTGATTGCAAAGATGGAGGAGCAGGGGCTGGCGGACACATCCCTGCTGAAGAAGATGGGATTTGAAGTTGAGAAGAGGGGGGAGAAGCTGATTCTGAAGTCCACTCGTGACAATCCCCCGCCGGTAAGTGGCCGCATGTGAGCTGCCCTCCATGCAGTTACAGACAGCTGTTCCTATGCCCCGGGACCTTGGCACCACAAGGTCCTTGGTGAGGAGGGAGGTCTCTGACCCGGTTGCCAGAGAGCCCCAAGTAGAGCTGAAGACCACTTTGGTTCAGCCTTTATGTTGCTGTTTTCTTAAAAGTTAAAATTTCAAACTTGCTTTGGAGGAGAAATATAAAAAGTAGATTGAAATTTATACATCTCTAAAGAAAGTTTCTGGCAGAAATTAGGCGTTTTCTTTAAAAGATGCCTAACATTCACTGCTGTTAAAGAACAGGAAGCCCCTTGTGCGATCTGAACGCGTCGCTGCGGGTTTCTCCCGGTGGATTATGATCACTGTCCACATGCCACCTGTCTTTCCTTTGTTAGTTCTTGTAAATAGACTTGTTATATCTTTGATTGTGTTTCTTTTTCCTTAGTGAAAGAACTCTCCATCCAAACATCTGAATTTTCAGAGTCTGACTTGTGGATGTTCCTCTCCACGATACGTGAAACTGCAAGTGTTTGAAGATGTGTAAGTGTGAACCTGGGAACTCTGGTCTTGTCGGTAGCAGAGTTCAGTGGCGTCAGCCACCATCAAAGTCCTCGACTTCCCCCTTTTCTTTGCATTACGCGTAGCTGTCTGGCCTCCCTTGTCCCCGCGTAGAATGTGCGTTAGTGTCACCTTGTGCATACTGTGGCAGCAGATAATAAAGTTCTGAGGGCACCGCCCTTCCTTGGCAAAGCCTGGCCGTTTGCTTGGATTCCGCGCCCCCTCAGATGGCAGGCAGCTTCGCTCCTCTCCTCCCTCCTCTCCTTGGGCTTCCTGAACTCTGGCAGGCAGTCAAAGTAGGTTCTCACTGTGATTAATTCTAGCAGTCTCTTTTCACCCCTTCTGCCTCTCCAAACATTGACAAGACTCATTTCCAGTTAATTAATTCAAGAGCCCTCCCTTTTGGTTTCAGCTACTGTGCTGTCACCGAGCCCTGTCCTTTGGAATGTAGGGAGAGGACGCGAGGGTGCTTAACTCCTCTTGTGCCAGAGCGTCCTGGGTTGGGTTCACCCTTTGTGCCCTCGTGCTGGAGGAAGGGCCAGTGCACACTCAGCCCAGCGCACAGTACCGGGGCACGAAGGGCCATCTCTGTCTTCAGACTTGCAATGCCGCTTGGTTTTAGCTGCAGCTTTGTGTAGATTGCACATTATTTTAGAGGAGCAAGAGTTTATATGACATCTGTCCATCTGCCTATGTCTGTATACTCGTGTATCGGAGGTAGAACTGGAGTCAGTAAGGCAAGCTCCTCGACCACCCGCCTCACTCATTTTGTTGCCTCATGCACTCCTGCAGGGCTTGCTGTGGCGCCATGTCACCAAGCTGAAAATCCAGAGATTGTGCACGATGCATGTTGAAACTCCCCAAGTAAGAACAACAAAGACCCAACCCAAAGTTTTACAGAAAATATTGATTGCTCCAAAATAAAGTTATTCCAGGTTTCTTTGTGCTGAACTTAAACTGCTTTGCAGCAGCAGCTGGAGCTGTTGATGGTGCAGTGACGGTTTTCCCATGTGCTGCCTAACATACTCCGCAGCTGTAAAGGGACGATCTAGGAAAGACTTTTTCTCTGTCTCAGTGGTGACATTTTATTCGCAAAGAAGCCATTGCCACATTTGAAATGCACAAAGAGGTCACTCTCTTGTGGGACATCAAGAGTTAAAATCTAGTTCTCTCCATGAAGGCTGGCCAGAGAGCCAAGCAGCAGGAGCCCATTTTCCTTTCAGTAAGTGGCCTAGACTCTCCTTTCTCCTCTCTCAATGGCTGTGTGCACCCAGTGGAATCGCACAGACGTGGGGTGTGAGCCGCACAATAACAGACCCAGGAGATAAAAGGAGCCTTGTGAGGATGCAGAATGGGGGTGGCTGTGTGTTTTCTAAATAGGAAATGTGAGGCTTTCACAGTGACAACAGGCTGGGGCCGTGGGGCCCTTTGATCCCCGTGGGGAGTGAACTGTTGAGTACAGCCGCCTGCGCCCCCACCCTCCAGTGGGCCTGGGGCTCTGAGAGCCTTGCTGTGTTCCATGCAGAGGATTAGACCACCTCAATCAGCCCCTTAGAAGCGAAGAAAGCAGGCCAGCCTCAAAAATTTGTAAAGCGGCAGAATGGTCACAGCGAGTTTTGTGACCATATTGTTTTCAAGAGCAAACCCACAAAGCCTTGGGCAGCTTCATTTTAGAAGGTGGGAAAGAAAGGCTTCTCTGCTGGGTGGTGAAGCAGAATGGTCATTTTGTAACACCAGATAAGACTTCAAATTCAATTTTCGCTGTGTTAGAATTTGTCCTAGTGAGTACATCTCATGGTTGCAGGGGTTATTTAGGAACTCAGATCAAGGTGCGTATTTTTTATTTCATAACTTCATGATCTAACCATGGTTGTTTTTTGCGAAATGGCATCTAGAGGAGTGACTGAGGTGGTTGGTGGGCTACCAGTTAGCAAGTTTTAAGTCAAAAATTAATGTTTTATGTGTGTGTCTTATGTCTGTTCGTTTTTGAAGTCATTAATGTGCTGCTCTGATCAAACAAATTGGCATTTATTTTGTTCAAATGACTTTCTACTATCCTTTCATTTTTGTCCTTAAATGAAAAAAATGTTCAGTGCTGTGCTTTGGCAGAGGAAAGCCTTTAAGTACCATCCCCAGTGTCTGGCTGTGCACCCAGAGGAGCAGTGCTCACATGTGAGGCCACAGGGTGGAGGCGAGGGCCTTGCTATCTGGGTCCACTAGAAAGCTGGTGTCTGGGAGCCTCGCAGTGCTGTCCAGGGTTCTGATCACCTCAGCCACCCCAGCCTTTGCACAGAAAAGCAATTCCAAACCTTTCCTTCAAAACTCAGGGATTTTCTCCCTTCACACACACACACACACACACACACACACAATATGTGTTTTCCTCTTCCTTATACATTTTTGTGTATTTACTTGGGATTTTTAAGTCAAGTATGTGCAGCATTTTGTGATATGAATTTTTTCCATTCTCTCTACAATACACAAATGGACTCTCAAGCCCAGTGCCTTCTGTAGCCTGGGTGGGTATGGGTCAGCTCCTTCACCAACTTTCCTCCTGCAGCCAGACGTCTCTGTTCATAGAAATGACTGTGGAGGTTTTTGTTTCTTGGTACTGGGGAATGAACCCAGGGATGTTCTACCACTAAACCACACCCCAGCCTATTTTAGTTTAATTTTGAGACAGGATCTTCCTACGTTGCTGAGGCCAGCCTATAAGTTGCAATCCTCCTGATTTGCTAGGTTGACAGGCATGCACCACCGAGCCCAACCACTTTGGAGGGTTTTTGGTTTTTTTGGTTTTTTTTTTTTTGGTTGGGAGTGGTACCGGGGATTGAACTCAGGGACACTCGACCACTGAGCCACATCCCAGCCCTATTTTGTATTTTATTTATAGACAGGGTGTCACTGAGTTGCTTAGTGCCTTGCCATTGCTGAGGTTGGATTTGATCTCACGATCCTCCTGCCTCAGCCTCCTGAGCCACTGGAATTACAGGCTTGCGCCACTGTACCCAGCTTGGAGGGTTTTGATAATTGTTTTATTCTCACTTAAAACCTTAAATTAGAAACATTTCTTTTTGATTAAATAGCATAATATATATTCTTTGTTTGCTCACAAAGTTGTATTAAGTTAATTTTGCATCATGTAAGGAAGAACTCAGGTTGTGTGTTGGAATGTGGATAGAGGTTTAGCACCATTTTGTACAGCACAGGGGCCACATACAAGCACTCTGAAGCTGGGGTCCATGCTCTGTCGCTTGCACAGCCCTGGGCAGATTCCATGAGCTCTTTGCCTTTGGCTTCTTCTTCACTCAAAATGGGGCTGATGGGACCACCTTACCTTAGCGGTGTAGTGTAAAGAAATTATACGTGTAGAGTGCTTAGTTCTAGTGTTGATCCCATTGGCTGGACGAAGAAGTGGAGTCTCAGAGAAATCAGCACTAAGGTCACACGTAATAAATGCTTAATGACTGGTTGATTGCAACAGTTAATTGCAAAGAAATGAGTGAGGGGAAAAAATGGCTGCTTTTCCCAGAAGCATACAAAGTGAGTGTCGCAGAAGTGCCTGGAGTGCTGCCTCGGTAGAGAGCAGCGCGGGGAGCGGGAGGATGTGCCGAATCTAAATCTCGGCTCTCCTCCTTGCCAGCTGAGGGACTGTAAGCAGGTTGCTTCACCACTCTGAGCCCAGGTTTCTCCCCAGCAGTGTCCCAGGCCTTGGGGATATAGCAGAGGACGCTGTAGAGTCCACATCCACAGGAGCTCACCTTCTGCCGAGGTGACTGAAAGTCCACAAGATGGGATGAAAACGAGAGTGTTGCCGCTGTAGCAGCAGGTGAAGACGCAGCTGGCAGCAACGGCAGTCTTTGCTGCCTCAGGCACACCTGAGCAGAGGCCAGCGGGTGTGCGGACCCAGGGAGCAGCGAGTACCTGGGACCTGGGGCACAGTGGCTTGAGACTGGCCAGACACGCAGGTCTGCAAGGCCCCGAGTGACCGGAAGGTACCTAAAGTGTGTCGTGGTGCTGGGCAGTGTAGCCGAGGAGGTGTGCTGTGCTGCGGTTCCCACTGTCACACTGTCATTCTTGGTGAGGAAGAAGAATCAAAGTGGGAAAGTGACGAAGGGCCACTGATGGTGGTGCCGTGGCCCCTGAGAAAGATTTGAACAGCTGCGTGCTGGAGGTGAATCCACAGAAACTGCTCCGGGCTCACTGGAGGTGAGGGTGAGTGGGTCCGCAGGAAAGCTCCTGAGATTTTGTTGAATTGGGCAGATTTCCTCTTCACAGAGGTGGAACTTCAGCGTGAAGAACAGTTCTTAGGTGTGAGTTGGCTGCAGCAGGGAGCATCCACAGTTCCACTTGGGGCAAATCAAGTTTGGGGTGCTTCTGTGGCATCCGCATGGAGATGATCTTGACTGTAACTGCACATACAAGCTGAGCCCAGAGGACAAGTCAGTGCTGGAAACGCCATGTGGAACCGTGGAAGTGAACAGGCTCATCCAGGGAGAGCATGGGCCATTTGGGGAGAGACCTGGGCTAAGCCACAGCCTGCATCTGTGCCTCCAGGTCAGCCTGCACGGAACACACAGTGGCTTCATCCTCGGATTGTGCATCATGGGCTTGCCTGTGCCCTTCTCATGTCCTGTCCCTTACTGTGGTACACGCTTCAGTGAAGACCCCGGTACACGGAGCTTACCTGTGTTTTAAGTTGCATATACATGAGGTCAAGGAAGGAAGATGTGGCTAGAGATTTTCTCAGCAAAGTGTTTAGATTAGAAAAGAAAGGGCACTTCCAAATCCCAGTGGTGATTGTCAGTGAAGATAATTAGTAATTCTGACCAAACCTCACCGAAGACAACGAAAAACAGGCCAGGATATTTAAAAACCACCGTCTGAAGGCTTGGAGCACTAGCAGGGCACACAGGGCCTTGAGGAGTCCCTCTTTCTTTACTTAGGATGCAGAGGGCTGCACTAGAGCACCTGTGAGCCAGAGCAAGCTCTCCATTTCTGATTATTCAGTCCCAGAGATGTGAGGTGGCCCTGGGGTGTGGTGACATCTGGTGTTGGGCCTCAGTCCCAGGTAACAGGCAACATAGTAAGTCCTGTGGGAGAAGACAAGTCCTCGGGTCCTAAATTAATTTTTCATGTGACAGAATCCAGTGCAGATTCCTGAGCTGGAAAAAATGAAAAATATAACCAGA